CCTGGTGCTATGGTGATGCTCATAGCGTAGTGATATAGAACAGTGATTAGCTGTTGCCGGGACTACCTGTGTGGTACAAAAATAATTCACGGCTGTTAGCCTCATGGTTTAATAATGCATACGACTGTAACACTATATTAATATTAATGACAATAACATTACTAATGATAATGATATATAAAAAAATGAACAAAGGAATTATTCTGTTCCTTTATTGTATCCAAGTTAAAAATCAAAGTGCACTGGTACAATGTCGAGTTGGCACAAGGCATTAAGTTCCATTGTGAATTAAATACATGCACCCACCTTCACATCTGACAACTGAACAGGAACCAAAATGGCTTTACAATTCCCTTGGCTTTACAATCATGTGCTTTTACATTTTTGGCATTTTAAGACAAAATTTCCTAACAAAAGTAAACATTGGAAACAAAAACAATATACAATATACAATACTTGCAGTTAGAACACAAGGACAACTTTTGGTCATGTTTTAATAAGTCACTCTTTAGAAATGCAATCATACTACTCAGTCTGAATGCCGTCAGATCAGTCTATGTGGGAAAACTGATCCCATCTTTATTGGAAGTGCAATAAAGCAACACCTTAGGCAACGCTGTTTGTTTGTTCTGGTGTGGTATTTCACTAGAATTATTGAGACTCACATATAGGAGGTTACTTTTATAACACAACATTAGTGTAACACAAAGGTCCATTCAATTATGAAAAGCAAGTTCGGCTCTTTTTTTTGCTACAATTTACTAAACAAACTGGTATGACTCATATTGAAATATATACTGTACATTGCACAAAATCAAATTTGAAGGCAAATTTGTTCAGAGTGGCTTTTGAGGCCACTGTAAACTTTAGCATAACGTACACACTGTCTTTTAAGACTGTGGCGGCTCTGTTTGAATTTTGTCTTATGGAGAATACTTTAGACTGGTCAACATTACAAACTCTCCAGCATTCCCACAAAGATGCAACTTCCAAGAGGCGATATGGGTAGTGGAATGACATAAAGACAATGGGAGTTTGGCTCTTAAAGAACACTGTAGAAAATCTCTGCACCTTCCTTTGATTCAAAAAATAAACATATATTATTGCAATACAGCAATGCCATAAGACACTGCAGTGAGGTAAATTATATTGCTCAAATTCGCTGTTATTATGGCTGTGCCATGTGGAATAACCAGAAATAAATATAAACAAATATTTCCCATTAGGAATGAACATATTCTTGATGTTACCAGGTGTATTATAGTAAATCACCTACCTGACCAGCCAGAACCACAAAACAAAATCATTCTGGAGCTGTATCATGTCACCCTGATTAAAAAAAACTAGGGGAAAAACCAATATAAAGGACTGAGAAAGAGCATAGGCTTTAACAGAATTGACTGAAGTACCAAATTATTACTTATCTCAGGTATAAGAAGTTATTATATATTTTGTTATATTATTATAATTTGTTCTGAATGTTACGAGAATTTTTGAGTGGAGAGGTCTTCCACATTTGAGAGACATGTGCTACAAATTATCAGCTGTGGTTGGAATGAGGTTTTTCACACTCTGTGGTCCGATTCTAGACCTTTCTGGATTCAAACAGAATGTTAAAGGGACTGGCTGGTCAGGTAAGTAAGTCACTGCTGATTTTGGTAGTTCAGACTTAATTTCTGTGGAATGAATAGAATGGGCATAAAAAGCAAAAGTTTAGTATTTGACAAATTGTCTGCATCTTGTCTTACAACCCAATAGGACAAAACCTGCCCCTGTGAAACAATGCTGACCTCACAATAAAGACTTTTTTGAGAGAAGATTGGTCGTGTCAGTTGTGCCTCTGGTCACAGCTTCCACAGGGTTATACTCACATGTGTTATCTGGTCAAAATAAGCAGTTGATCAAACCCATTTGGCTTCATACTGACTTGACAAAGGGACTTTTAAAGCCCCATTCTCGGTTGTGTTAGTCTGAGTTTCTATAGTCACACCCCAGAGTCTGTGTACATACCATTAATCAAATAGTCCACTTGAGTGTAGTCCTTCCTCTTGTAGCTCTCATAGGCCTGGGTCAAAAACACAGCCACTACCACAAAAAGGAAGAGTAAACCAAAAAGCAGGATGGCCAACAATGAGGCCGTATCTACCAGCTGTCTGGTTAAATCACTGGTTGCCACCTCCACCACTGGGCTCAGGTACTGGACAGTTGGGGCAGAGCTGGTAGAAACAAAATCAGTTGATTTAGTAGAAGCAGCAGCAGCAGAAGTAGCAGTAGCAGTAGTAGTAGTAGTAGTAGTAGTAGAAGTGGAAGCAGTAGCAGTTGTAGTTGAAGTAGTTGTAGTAACAGTAGCAGTAGTAGAAGTAATAGTAGCTGGTTCCTTGGTGGTGGTTGTTGTTTTTGAAAATGGCGTTGTCATTACATTGTCTGGGGCAGGTGCAGTGGTTTTTGGTGAATGAGAAGGAGCCGTCTTTGTCGTGGATAAATGAGTTGGAGTTGGAGTTGTTTTTAGGGTTGACGTCTGTAGCGTGGTACTAGTATTTGGAGGTATGATTGCCTGTACTCCTAAAGTATTGGAAGGCACACCAGCAGTTTTATTCAGTCCAGTATTATTGTTGAGTGAAAGTCGAGCATCTGTGACTTCTGGTCCTGACGTAGAATCACTGTTTTTAGCTGGTGGTGCAGAAGGTTGTAATAAGGGCTTTTGGGTGGTAGAAAAGTCGAAATGTGAAAAGGAGGTGGCATTGACTTTTTCGGTGACATCCTGGTTGGCATCATTTACAGTGTGATTAAACTGTCTATTTCGGCTTCTGTTAAAAAGCTGGTTAAGATTGGTGGAGTTCACAGGAGAAGAGGATTCCGTCACATTTCTCTGAGCAGTCTCTGATGAATTTTGACCTGTGCTGTTATTGCTACCTGTAAGCACAAAAATATACTTGTTTGAGCAATTCTTGCTTCATTTTAGGTAAAAACCGCAATCAATTCTGTTAGGTTTGCATTTTTTGCTGGACTCTAATAGTTGAAGTAGCATATCTAGTGTTGCCCAAAATATATTATTGAGGACCTTGTAGCCTTGGGTTGAGTGCAAAACTTGAACAATATTTCTTGTGAAAATAATGATTTTGGCTACCAGCTAGTTCTGATCAAAATTTCAAGCTCAAAATCAAACACAGAAAGGGAGTTCAATTGTTATGTAAATTATGAAGCCCTATTCACTATTTTCTTTGTGGGTGATCAATGATTTCAATGATCATCCCTCACAGAGCAACTAAATTAACTGAATCTAAATAAATCCTGAAGATAAATGCAATGAGTAAATAGGTAAAACAAACCCAAACCCAAACCACCCAAAAATAAATATGTTTTATCTACTGCATCCTTATGTTTTGCAGATGAAGAGAAACAATTAAAATGTACTAGTATTTTACTTTTAAGGGGGCCAAAAAATATATTAACATCCCACACACATCCCACACTATGCAGGGCATCTGGTGAGATTCAAATTCATTTCCATACATATCTCTTTTTCAGCAGCATTATGTCACTGTTTGTTGGGGGTCCGTGACCTTCTTGTTTTTTATGGATTATGTCATTGCTCTGCCTGGAATGTTCCACAATAGGACATTAAACAGCTCCACCTTTGCATTTATTCAATTACAATTGGTTTTATAGCTCATAAATATCTAGAAAAACAGGCATTCTGACTCTGAGCAAAGTTGCCTCCCCACAGACTCCACAGACTGACCTGAAACTTGGTCTATCTAGTTTGGGCATCATGAAGATAGAAAGGTTTAATGCCATACTGTGAAACATTAGAGACAAAGCAATAACATCTCCACAGAGAAAAACATTTGACGGACCCTCCACCAGAAAAGTTAATCAATGCATTGTTAAAATGTGTGTTAAAAACGCATAGTTATAATATAAAAATATAAAATGTTGTAAGTAACAATGTTCAGTGAAATACAGCTGATTGATACACTACAACTTACATTCTTTACAGACTGGGCTAGTATCACTGGGCTGCAAAGATACAGCGAGCAGGCAACACAGGACATAGAAGCTCACAACTGGACCCATCAGGGACATGATGGGCAGAGGGTCCCCTCACATGAAGACACTGTCCTGGGACAAACTAGGGGAGAAGCAGAAGACACAGTCACAATAAATATTTATGAAGATTTTGTAATGCATATGTTTTGAAGAAGTTTTGATGATTCCTACTTTAGTTCAATAACACCTTTTGTAAATATAAATTTTAGTTTTACACCAAGCAAGAAGAAATTTGAAAATAAAAGTTGAATATGATGAATATTACAGGAAATAGCGAGTTCTATTTTAGAGGACTCACCATAATTTATACACAAGAAACACATCTTTAAGCATGATTTCAACAAAATAAAGACATTTTCTTGTATTTTTATTTCTCATATAATAATTTCTGTGTACATTAGAGGAGTTTTGGCCTGGTACAGCATTGTTGTTATTGTTTTTTTTAATATTTTGTAAACTCTTGAATGTGAATGAATGATCTTAACTGTGTTTTAGTAAAATGAGTAATTCAGCCTGTCATAGGCACTTTCAGATTAATGTAAAGCTTGGGCAGGTGTCAGTTTTGCAACACTCATTTTCAGTTTATCTGCACACAGCTAAATTGTTACTTCACTCAAATTTGTTTTTAAAATAAGTCTATTCTTTTGAAAAGCAACTAGACTTGGACAAACTTGATTGATCCATAAGTGAAATTATTTGGACACAGTGGCTCACACATCACAAAATAATAACAACATATAATAACAGAGCAAAAATGTAAATGCTAAATAATGTTGCAGTAGCTCCAGAAACTAACTGGTTTGATGTTGATCTTGAGATCTGGCCACGTCAGACTAAGTAAGCACAGATCTTCCACTACACACACAACACAGGCCAAGCAAACACAAAAGGCACATTGCAAAAGGCGGAGTGCAAGTAAAGACAACACTTTGCACCAGCATCTTTAGATAAACAGGACTTTATTCTCAAAACCGGGTGCACTGCAATAAATAAACACGTGTGTTAAAGAAGAACCCATTTAGTTTCCCAGAGACACCAAATCGCACATAGTTGAAACCACAGTGTTAATGTAAACTACTCTAATTAAAAATAAGTAGAACAAGCTGCAGGCCTTAAGGTTAATACTTAGCATTTGGGTCAGTAATTAGTTTATTCCCAATGAATCCAAAGCTAACGGTACGTTTTATGTCTTGCATTTGTAGCTGCGATGCTTCGTTGACTTACCAGTTGTTCTTTGATTATTTTCTGGTTCTTTGTGGAGAGAAATAGAGTTTCTCGTGAAAAGAAAAAAGACTGAACTTTGACTTCCTGGAGTTGATGTGCTTCCTCTTCTTCTATCTTCTGTTGGATGATTTGCTATCGCTGGTGCAAAGACTGACAAAACACTACCATCTGCTGGTGGGATTTAAGAACTACAGATTCAATTAACTGCTTAGCTGCTCTTATGCGTCAGCCTTTATGTCGGTTTAACTTCCTTCCTCCAAATAATGCCGTTGGTGGCTCAGTGAGTTCACCACACCCTTACATAGATTTATATGTTTTTATATCATAGAAATACTTTATTGATCCTCAAGGAGACCTTTGTCCTTTGGCTCTTACAGTAAAATATGAAACAAATAAAAAATATAATAACAAAAACAACAAACTAGGGCTGGGCTATTGGTATATGGGATAAAAGTCACATTATTCATTGTTGGGCAGCTGTCGAATGATTTTATTTTAACTTTGGAATGAATTATTAACTTATCTATTAGATCTGGCCTGAATAGAGGGGTTACAGTTGACTTGAGGTCATTTGACTGCGGAAGCCCGATCGTGTAACAGGTGCAGTATCTCTCTCTGCACAGACGCAGAGCACAGTCAGACGCACAGAAAGTAAACTCGTGCGCGCATTTCTCCATTGTTCCGCATTGGGACGCTTATTTGGACAAGTACCAGCAGCACCGGTGGCTTTTATTCTACTTTTTACTTGTCTTATAAATTCTCATCAAGAAGACCATCTTTACTCACAGCCATGCCCTTGCCCACCGTATCCAGGCTGTTCAGGCACGCTGTGAGGACGCAGGTGGTCCCCTTCGCCCGTGTGTCTGCCAAGCCCGCGCAGCACAACATCTCTGCAGGGGTAAGTTTTCTTTTACATCAGCACCCCGCAGATCAACAATGACTCCGCACTACCATCACCGCACGGCCAGGACGCACGTAGCCTCGAGTCAATATTTGAACTCTTAATTTCCACACTTTATGACTTGCGCAAGGCTATCTCGCCATTATTGCTCCTAATGCGTCCACGTAGTCCTCTTAATTCTGTTGTATATAAAACAGTCCACTAACAAACTACGCAAAGATGATAACTGGCATGGTGAAACTAGCATAGGGTCATGTTGTGTGTTTGGGCTATCATTTGATATAAATATAAAGGATGACCTTGGATTTGGAACAGTTTCAAAGTCTGTGGCGCAGGGGCCTAATTCTTACTGCAACAAAAATAGACTGAAAGTTTTTGGTTGTTAGAAGTAATGTGCTGATTTATAATAGATCAAGAAAATGAAAAACTGAATATATTTAATAAAACTAAATTGTCAGGAAAAAAAAAAAAAAAAGGTCCTTACAGTTTCCAAGTTATGTGTTATATTTAGCCCACCAATCAGAGGGCGCTGGACCCTCTGTAGCAGTTAGCGTAAACTGTTTTATTCAAGTGGTCCAATAGTGCAATGGATCATAGTGTCATCATGTAATATGCTGATTTAGGTGGCTTTATATTTACCATTATCTTGTTCTTGACCTTTTTTTTTTTTTTTTTTTTTTTGCTTTTCCTGCTTAGACAAAAATAGTGTAATCAAACAAATGGACAAGGGCAGATTAACAATAGGCTGTCAGAAACACTTTCTATTTTTAACTCTCCACTTAAACTTTCAGGCTTGTCATGGAAGGACCTTTTGTCTTATTAGTTACAATCTAATGTAGTTTGCTCAAGTGTGTAAATGACCAACATAGCAATCAAATAAATCAGCTATAAAAATCTGTAAAAAAAATTAAAATAAAAAATACTGTATGTATATATGCATTGCCAAAATAATTAGGCTAATTAGGCTAAGTAATAATTGTGCATTTATTTAGGCTGGTCTACTGATGTAACCAGTTTGACAATAGTTTTTTCCAAGAATATAAAAGGTATGTAGCATAACTAGTATCAAAAGTAGCTTGCCCTGTATTGTTACACTCGTTTGTTCCAATTTTGTATCATTATAAAAGTAGGCAAAATCTCAGAATAATATTTTGAGTAGGCTAATGTTCATGAAGTTACTTATCTAAAAGCAAGTCCTAATAACCCATGTGTGTATTTATTGTAGGAGCAGGCGTTTGCCCTCACATGCATGTTTGCAGTAATCCTGGGCCCGAGTGGCTGGGTCCTGGCTCATCTGGAGGACTACAAAAAGAGGGAGTAGACGGACCAAGAAGAGCAGTACCATGAAACCATTTGAGGCCTTTTATATTATACATGTTAAAATCAACTGACAATAAATACCTGACCATAAAAGTAAGTGAATTTGTGACTGATTTATTTCATTTTCTACACCTCTCTTTAATAAAGACTCAATGAATGGTCTGAAAAAGTGGGTCTAATGAGGACTGAGCTCATCCTGCTTCCAATGCAGTGTCATCTTAAAATGGCTTTCTTCTGAGACCCAATCTTTTCCTCTGAGTCACCAGTGTCTTTTCCCGTCCTGAAGCTCAAAAGGAAAGAATAGAATGAATAAAATAGTTTGGGTTTTTAGACCTTGTGCAGGAGGGTAACTGTCTCTATTTGTTCCAACAGCTTAATTTGTTGTTTTAAATGATTATGTAAATGTAATGTCAATCAAAGAAAGTCAAATCTGAGCATGTAAAAATAATTTATGCAAATTTGCAAAGTACAACTTTACAATATCCGGGGAAAAATCATTTGCATCCTCATCAATGGATGTACAGTTAAATCATTTGTTTCATACAAACAAAGCAAATAAATAATTATCACACATTTTATATACAATTAAGGTGTGGAAATTGTCAAATGACAAGAACAGGCTCTAATCAAGGATGAACCTAAAACAAAGAGTTTAAAAATGCCTAAGACTCAAAAATTATACTCAAAATTATCTAGACATTTTACAATACATTCACAATAAATTATAGACATATGATTGCCGTCAAGGGCAGTTTTTGCTCAAAAAATCTAAAACATCAGACAATAACATAACAATGAAGGACATAAATCTCTTTATATGTCCATGTTCACCTGTACTTAATGAGCTTAATGTTCTTGCCTCCTCAGTTTACAGTTGGCGCAGATGCATGTCTGCAACAGTTTCAGGCTTTAAACCTTTAACATTCTGGAAATATTTAACTTTTTACATACAGTCGTTGTTTCATATTACAGCATCTCCAGCTTGGAAACTACATTTACAGTTTGGGCACTACAATGCAATGAATAAATATAGAGCAGTATCTCAGCCAGCAACCCATACTTTGAGTAGTTTTCTATCCCTGATTTGGACAAACAGGTCTGGAGTATTGTAGACAGGCACTCTAGAGAAAAGGGTTAAATTTTAGTCCAAAAATTAGTGTTCATTTCAAAGAAATGATGTCAGTTGGTCCAGCTCCAAACATGGAGCTCTCTACTTGCAGTCACAGTGAGCTCACAATGGGGCCCTGCTAAAGTGTAGCTAAAACCCTGAGGAAAGAGATTATGAGAACGCAAAATGACTGGCCCACACCGAACACCAGAGCTTCAAGAGAGATCATCCTCTTCCCAGCTGCCTTGTACACACCAGCGATCGCCGCACCTACATAATGGAAAAAAATGAGAAAATATGTAGTTCTCTTAATAATTTACATGTTTTCAGTTACCGACCAACAGGGGAAAATTTAATAACTTACTTGTAAGAACACCTCCACAGACTGGTCCAATGATGCCCATGAGAATGATGGCGATGGGCATGAAGCGGGCGATTTTATGCTGGCGGAGAGTGGCCAATGACAGCAGTGCGGCAGGCAGGTGGAAGATCAGGGACGAGACAGCTGCCCAAAGGAACACCCCGTACCACATCTCTATAGATAAAAAGCAATATTTCATAACTGGGACTGAGAGCAAGCAAGTAGTTGCTAGTAGTTAACTATAGTTAACTACGTGCGAGGTGTTAGCAGACTAGCTGTTCGGGCTAAGCGGTTCGTCGTTAAATTAACACACATAAGCCAACGAAGTTAACGACATTTATGTTAAACCAACACATTTACGTAGGATCTGCATGACACTCTAAATAAAAATAAGAGTAATACAAAGCCAATCGCAAAAAAGTATAAGACGAGACGCTTAAAATGCTACAAACATTAGCATGACGCTAGCTCACCCGAGAAGTCACTCAAAGATGTGTCGTTTCCAAGTGTACCATTTTTCCTTGGCACCAAATTTAGACCAAGTATTTGTTGGACGAAGCCAATCTCACTGTATCGGTCAACCATGCTTCACATCAGAGTGTAATGAACAGAAGGAAAAAATAATTTCCCAGGAAACTTCTCCTGCCAAGTGGATGGCATCAGGATAATCCTGTACCCAACTACTTCTGACGTCATTGGTATGCGACTCACGACCAGTCATGGGAATTGTAGTTCCTGGCCACATTTTCATAAACACACATTTTTAAGGCTTTAATAATAAATCCATAACGCCGTCATGGTCACACCTCCACTTTCCATGAAGCACTAACCATCATTTGCTCTGACTTAAGTCAAGATAATTTGTTTTCTTTCCTAGTCCTTAGAGGCACAGGAATGTCCAAACGCGGCCCTCAGGCTTCCTGCTGGATTGGCCGAAAGGATCAAAAATAGTACATTTTATATGCCAATTCAAGCATTTCTATAAGTATAACCTCAGCATTCCGTTGATTTTGATATGCACCAAATGTGTGTTCCAAGCCTCTTTATATGTACTGCAGCTCTGTCTAAAGTGAATCCATCTGAAAAAACTTGTTGTAGAGTCATTCCACGCCATTTTACCCAATGGTCCACGCAATTCGATCTCTAAAAATTTTTAAAAAATATTAAATAGTCCCTTACTATCATGTACCAGCCCTGTGAAGTTTTAGTGATTTTCGATCATTACTTTTCAAGTTACAGCTCATTTAGTGAGGGAAGTATGTGTCAATTTACGGGCACAAAATCGCATCATTTTTTCTCAGCCGTTTTCACAGGTCGATATCTCCGTAAGTATCACACATAGAGGGCTGAAATTATGTAGGCTTGTAGTCCTCTACTCTGTGTTCAAATAACATCTATCGAAAGTTTGGTATCACAACTCCTTGTCATTTTATATGAACTTAAAAATGAAAAAACAAACAAACAAACAAACAAAAAAACTCGTTAATTTCTGTGGCGTAACATTTTTAGCCCCTTTTTAAACCTACTTGTAGGTGTAGGAGACCCTTTTTATTTATTTTTTTTTTGAGAATCAAGATATGTACTAGGACTGTTAAAAGAAATCACCAAATGTTGAAAATTTTAAATAGGTTATATGTGAGGGTCCTGTTAAAAACAAGAAAATGCAACATGGTCCGATTTTTACATGTAATTTATGGCATGTGGGTAGTGATGAAAAAAAAAATTGAATAACTTTTGTTTGAAAGACCAGAAAAAGACCTTTCATATGGTACCAAACGTATTTTATGAGGCTCCTTCAGTTTTTTATTGTATCTTGAACATTCGTGTTTTTGAGGCTCAGTTATAGTGCAAGACACAATGACACGAGTACAGTGACCATGCACTATGTTTTATTCCAGCAGCTAACATCACTAAACATTTAAAGACTGAATCAAATGGTTTGATAATAATTTTGATCTAACAAGGTATCTGAGAAGGTGACAGGTTATATGACATCCAAGAAAACAGCTGTAAATTATTCTCATATTAAAGAAACAATCAAGTCATGTTCAACAATATTATATTGTCTTCTCTTAGTTGTGGACGGCACATTGATGTTCAAGACTATGCACAACTTTACAATAGATTTAGATGCGCAAGAAACTCAAACATCCGGAAGCAGCCAAGAAGTGAGGAAACAGTTCCCTATCATGTTTGGATCGCCTGAGCAGCTCTTATGGAGCCTTAAATGGAAAGTGTTAAGGTTGTCCATTTAAGGGAAATTTCAGGATTTGTGAGAATTTATTGCATATAAAAAATCATATTAATCTTTATTCTGGGGTGGACCTATATAGTTCCAAATGCACATTTGTTTTGAAGTTCTTTTTGTTATATATTTTAAGAGAGCCAGTACATGTTTGGATCACCATGGGACCAAGAGCCTACTCCCAAGAAATTAACGAAGTGCACAGATGAGGAAGCGCCTGATTCAACTTACAAGGCCATACCCCAGTCAAGATGGTCAACTGAACCATCTAAAACCAATCCACCAGGGATGAAAAAGCCTCTACAGGTTGAGGAGAATTCTGGTGTTCAAGCTTGTGGGGAGTGTCCATGCTGACCTCGGCCAGAAAAATCCAAAAGCTTCGGGACTGACTGCTGGTTTATGAAGATGTGCCTACCGATACTGATGACGAATAAGACATACATGTTCTGTGTTCTGGGTTTTTAGGTAACTTGTAACACATCCTGTTGATTCATTCTTGTTCTTTCTTCATGTTTGGGAGCTTTAGCTGCTGGAATAAAATATAGTACATGGTCACTGTATACTTGTGTCATTGTGTCAAATGTGAATGTTCAAGATACAATAAAAAATTGAAGGAGCTTCATAAAATACATATGTTTGGTACCATATGAAAGGTCTTTTTCTGGTCTTTCAAACAAAAAGTATTCAAAACATTTTTATCACTACCTACATGCCATAAATTACATGTGAAGATCGAAACATGTTGCATTTTCAGGATCCTCACACATAACCTATTTAAAATTTTCAACATTTGGTGATTTCTTTTAACAGTCCTAGTACATATCTATATCTTGATTCTCAAAAAAAAATTTAAGGGTCTCCTACACCTACAAGTAGGTTTAAAAGGGGGCTAAATGGTATGCCACGGAAATTTATGTTTTTTTGTTTTTTTTTTAAAGTTCATATAAAATGACAAGGAGTTGTAATACAAAACTTTCGATAGATGGTATGTGAACACAGAGTAGAGGACTACAAGCCTACAAAATTTCAGTCCTATATGTGTGATACTTACGGAGATATCGACCTGTGAACACGGCCAAGAAAAAATGACGCGATTTTGGGCCCGTAAATCGACACATACTCCCCTCATAAAATGAGCTGTAACTTGAAAAGTAATGATCGAAAATCACTAAAACTTCACAGGGCTGGTACATGATAGTAAGGGACCAGCTGGTAATTTTTTCAAAATTTTTAAAAAACATGATGTGTAAGATTTTCTGGAAATTCTGTGAAATGGCGTGGAATGACCCTGTATTGAACATCAATCTGTGGCCCCTCCACTTAAAATGTTTCCATATGTGGCCCTCTAAGAAAAACGTTTGGACACCCCTGATCTATCCGTTAATAACCCTATATTAGTTTAATGGTTGCAAATAAATCTAATAAAACTGTGTAAGTAAAACACAAAATATAGAAATTTACCAAAACTGCCCTAGCAACGAATACTTCCAGACATTTATTGCATATCTTGCGACATCTGACCTTTCTCTAACCACCACCTAGACAGCCTAGCGACATCTGTAGGATTGTAAAATAACCATATAAAATTTAATTTTACATTACTTTCCCCAAAATTTAAAAATAAAAAAAATAACTTTCGTAGTCAACGCTGCAACATATTTCCAACGTCTGTGCGCACTTTTATTAATAAATGCTCAACAACGCCCCTTTAGCAACCCCCACAGTCACGTGGTACCTGCTGCTCTTCTCTAATACGTACAAGTCATTAGGTTAGAAGTGGTAAGCTGGTAGCAGGTTGTTTTTCCAGGCCCAGTCAAATTGAGTTTTTTATAAGATGCACATACAGATGTGTGACATTTATGCCTGGAAACATCTAAGTGCACCTAAAACAAAATTTGGAACAAAAAGACGTCTGGTATCAAAAGTGGTAGAAAACTTCCTGGAGACACTAGCACTTGCTTAGGTGCAACCCACACATTAGCAGCTTCTTGCTCAAGCAGTGTTGAGAGAAGTGTCATGAGAAGAACACAAGATAGTATGAAAGCTCAAAAGGGGACACAGGTTAGTATATCCCTTAAGGAACTATCGCAAAATAAATACAAAAATTGACTTTTTAAATCAGTCTCATTGCTGAAGACCACAAGAAAAAATATTTACATAAAACATTAACAGCAAAAATAAAACAGAGCATTGGAGGGTGAAACTGTCAAATATATCGTGTTTCACAAATCGATTCACAAGTAAAACCAGTTTAGTTGTACTACACCTTCTCCGGTGTTAAATCCCCATGTTTCTAGTATACATTTGTCTTTTTGTAAAATATTTTATTCATACAATCATTTCTTTAGCTATTGCAACATGACTATTTAATTTTGAGTGGCAAGATATCAGTTGCACATAACCCCTTAAGAACAACAGCTTATAAAACAAATGCAGAAAAATCTTCTGTATTCATTTTGAGTGTGTCACACGTGTCTTGAGTCCATCTCAGGTCTGTACAACTGTCTGTGTGTCAGTGGTGGTGAGCTCGTGGGACTATTGCTGATCCTGGAGGGGTGTATGATTGGTACAGCTCTGATCGGAGGCCTCCACTGACCGGCCGGGGAGGAGGGGCCCGGGGGCACCACAGGCTGGCCACACATGTGCACTACGTCACTCACACAGGACCATTTACAGCTGCCTCTGGGGAAGGGGAAGACGCCTCTGGCCTAATGAGAACACAGATTAAAAACGCTGTTAATTTCAATACACAAATCCACAAAGCATTAATAGTAAATTTGAAATCACATACTTGGCCTCTTCAGTAGGGGACATCTCTTCAAGAGGACCGTTAGATACTTTCTCACTGCTGTCAAAAACACAATATTTCGCATAAATTATTATTATAAAAATGTATAGAATTCAAAAGTCACAGTAAGGATTCTGACCCTTTTTTTGGACAGCAGGCGGCAGCTGGACTGTTCAGCTCAGCTTTCTCAGGATCTCCGCTGTCCCCAACTGAATATTTCTCTGGTGAAAGACTCTTCTCTTCATCACTGGAACAATATATAAAAATAATGCATTAATTCAATGACTATATAGTACAACCACACAACACACAGTATGAGGAAAAGTGACGCATGCTGAACTGACTGACACAGCACACAGCAAAAGAAAGGATGAAGTGTTGAATGGGGCACAGAGGATACAGTGAAGACAAAAATGTACAGCAAATGGAGAAAGTCAACTGAATTTTCTGTAAAAAAAACAAAAAACTAAACTAAAACAAAAAAACAACAGTATTTACTCTGTTGCTTCAGTGCCAAGAAATAGCAGGCAGACATATATTCAAACAATTGAACCAGCCGTCTGTCTTGCTTTGTCTCAGAGAACCACCAGTACATATGTATAATGAGCCCTGAAAGCAAAACTTCACCACATGCACAGCCTGTTATAACAGACTGAAGGTCTACCAACAATTAAGTTTTCCACTTTATCAAATCACAGATCAGTTACACCAAATCAAAAATGCATTTTTATCTACTATTCGACAATTGTATCAAATTGCCTACAAACACTGTTCTGTGTAATTACATAGTTTCTCAGTCTGGTTTCTTCAAAACTGGACCCCTCAGTAAACAGCAGTGTACTGTACAACTATATTTTACTTGAACATTATATATTATTTTCAATAAAGTTAATTCCACAAAGTCTCCCCCTTACAAAATATCAGTGCTTCTTACGTTTTTGTGCACCACCAGGTGGTTACTGCATCCATCTCTGAACGCACAGGTGAAATATTGCATGAAAAGCATATATATGCCAATATGCTTAAAATAAAGGTTTGCAAGTACTTAAAAGAGAACTGTACTTTGAAGAAAGACATGCAGAATGGAAATATGAAATAAAGTA